CCTCAAGGCACATCCACCCTGTGGCACACCAAACACCCTTGACATAGAAATGGCCCAGCTCCACAACTGAACTTCATCAAGCCACAAAGCCACTAAATTGTTCCAGCTCCATAGATCCTGGACCAAGCAGCCATGTGATACCTCAAAATTTCAGAATACTATCAGCTCACAGCAAACTGATGGGAAAGTGCTGTAGAAGACTACCAAGTTCAATGAGCAAAAACAATAACACAGAAGGCTCAACAAACATCAAGCAACACAGTAAATCCTCAGAAAATGACTTTACTAACCCCACTGTGAGATAAAACAATTATTACAAATTGACTTTTAACAATTTATTTTTTATAACTACACTTGCCTTTGTGTTGTAACAAGCAATATAAATTTGTTTGTACCTGCAAACTTAAGGGTTGGGTGAGAAATTGGGTACAGGATGGAGGAAGGTCACACCAGTGGTGGGATTGGTGTTGAAACACTGAATGTCAGAAACAACTGTATTATGAGCAACCTGAAAAAATCACAGTGCTTTAATAAAAATTTTTTAAGAAATGGTGTCCACTGTCAAGTGAAATTGGTATCATCACACTATCCTGAGCAGGCCCCAAAGATACAAGACAGTTCAGTAAGGAAGTAGGTCAGATGCTCATAGGCTCTGCCAATTCTTGTCATCTTCTCTCTCCCAGACTGTAGCTTTGTCTCCACTGATATTTCTCTATGACTTGTTGACTAAGAAAAAGAAACCTTGGGTCTGGTGTCCAGGACTTTCTACATGTTATTCAATACTACCTCAAATAGACAGCCACCATCCTACAACTCCATTCTGGGCTATCCCAGAGAGGTAATGATAAAGGGAAATATTCCCTACGTAGACAGAATTGCAAACAGGAACCTAGTTGTTCTTTTTTTTTAGAAGGAGAAATGGCCAGGGCATGCAGTTATGCTGGTTCATGAGCTGTAGCCAACAGTTCAACTAGACAGACTTGAAAGAAGCATCGTTAGAAAATGGGTAACAAAGAAGACTAAGGGGAAGGCATATAGATAAACCTTTCCAAATGATCAATAAACAACTTGAAGATATTTGTGTCCCAGGTGGATGATGACCAACAGTTGGCTTCAGCAAGGGATTTTATTTATTTATTTTTTATGTATTTTTTGCATCACTGTGGTAAAAGTTACAAAGCTTTCAGGTCTCGGTCTTGCAATGATCAAATACCTTTCCCTTCAACAGTACTCATTTTTCACCTCCAAGAACCCCAATATACCTCCCTCCACCCCTCCCAATGCCTGTGAGGCAGATGAATTCTACTTAACTCTCTACCTATTTAGATTACATTCATTATTTCAACAAAAGATGCACCATTATTGTTTAGAGTTTACACCCAACAATCAGAACTGCTGAAAAGGCATTGTGAAATAATTTGTTTTCTACAGCTGGTTATGAGAACCATATGATGTTGCACAGCCGCAATTGCGGCCGCACGATTTTGGATTCCTGATACTTTACTTATTAAATCTGGAGGGATTTCTGCCAAGAGTCAGATAATTACGAGATTGGTTTCTGTGGCTCTGGAGCCATGGCCATGCCAGAGAGCCACTCGTGGGGGGAAACTCGTGACCTCAGTAGGGCGTGAAGGATGAGCCGGGAACGCCTCCCCATGAGGTTGCAGTTGCCCTGTCACTGCTGGCTCATGCCTGGCTTTCCAAAAAGCTCTGAGGCGGCCGCCATCTTGCTGCCTGGGGGAAAGAGGCGGAAGGGAGTGACACCCCTTCCCTCCCGGGGAGGCATGGTACCGTGGATTAACTCATAGTCCATTCACTTTTCTGCCGCAAGCTGCCGGGCTCTGCATTAAGTCCTTGTGCCTCTGGAGCCATGGCCATGGCCATGCAGGAGAGCCACTCGTAGGGGCCAACTCGTGATCTTGGTAGGCAGTGAAGAGTGAGCCGGGAACTCCCCCCTTCCCATGAGGTTGCAGTTGCCCTGTCACCACTGGCTCATACCTGGTTTTCCAAAAAGCTCCGAGGTGGCCGCCATCTAGCAGCAAAGGATTTTAATAACCTCCTTTCAGTGGCAAAGATGATCCATTCTGTGACTTACCAGGTGACTTCTATTCCTGACCATCCCTGATCAACATAAAATGTGTCAATGTGGCTAGTCCGCCTATTCAACCAAACATCAAATGTTGTCATTTATTTGTAAATATATTTAACCATTTTTATTGAGATTTACAATACTGTTAATCATGCTTTTCATGCATGGGTCATTCCCACACCACACCCACCCATCACCAGAGAGCCTGCTTTCCGCCACCAATGTCCCAAGAACCAGTCCAAAGCCCTCTCCATGTGATCTCAGATCTACAATTCCAAGACTTTAATAATTTGTTGTTCTGTTTCTTTTTTCCCCCCAAATACGAGAGATCTTGTGTGTGGGGGGGGGGAGTCACATCTATATACATATAGCTAGCTTAATAGAACTAACTCCTAAAAGCCCAAAAACAACAAATATAAAAACATGAATATAAAATTATAAACGATACTAAAAAGTTTTCAAAATCTAAATCATTTTAGTTATATAAAATTTAAGTATCATAGATAATTCTCTGAAAATACGTTTTGGTTTACATGAAATAAGTAAATTTTACATATGTAAAGTTTAGTAAGAGTGAAGAGAAATAAGAAAATATAAAGGGGGAATTTTAAATATGCCTTTGAAAGTACTAAGTGTGTGGTTTATCCTAAGAAAGAAAATATTGAACCTATCAGTACCTGTATTGCAAAGCACAATGCCCGAAAGGAAAGGAGAGTGAGCGGTGAGCGAGTGAGAAAGAGAGCAAGAGCGAGCGAGTGAGCAAGCGAGAGAGAGAGAGAGAGAGAGAGAGAGAGAGAGAGAAGAAAAGTGCCTGCCATCTGCCATGGGGGGAGGGGAATGGAAGGGAACCTGGGTGGGGACACTGGTGCTGGGAAATGTACACTGGTGGAGGAATGGGTGTTGGAATACTGTATGACTGAAACCCAATCATGAACAGTGTTATAAGAGTCTATCTCACAGTGATTCAGTAAAAAATCTTTTTTTTAAAAAATGAATATTGGCCTTTATATTAGAAAATGTCATATTATAGATACTGTTTAAGTGTCTATAATATGACATTGTATTTATAATATTTAAGTCAAAGACTGCAATAAAAAATCTATGAAAAAACTCATCAGATATAAAACATTTAATATTATTTAAAAATATAAAATTCGGGGGCCAGAACAATAGCCCAGCAAGGAGGACATTTGCCTTACATGCAGAAGACCTGGATTCAATCCCCAGTATCTCATATGACCCCCCAAGCACTTCCAGGGGGTAATTCCTGAGTACAGAGCCAGGAGTAGCCCCTGAGCATTGCTGGGTGTGACCAAAAAAACAAAAATATATATTCAAAAGTATATAATTCTTTAGCTTACTGGGAGTAAACATTTAGTAGAGGGCAACCATAAAAACCATGACTAAGTGCCATATTTAGTGTTTCTGTGCTGGGACATTCATTCTGTCCTTTGAAGATCTTTTAAAGCCAGATAGATAGTACAACAAATATAGTGGTTGCCTTATACATGACCAACCTGGGTTTGATTTTCAGCACCATGTACTGTTGTTCCCTGAGCAACCACTAAGAGATATGCCTGAGCTGAGTAAGGAGTAAGCCTGGACCCCCTCCAGTTGTAGGTCCCCCACCCAAAAAAAGAAAGCTCCTTTAATGCTTCCTGAAAAACTGGTTTCTAGGCTGTGAATTCCCTAAACTGTTGCCTGTCCATGAAATTCTGTATCATTCCTTCAAATCAGAACAACAACCTAGCTGGACAGAGTATTCTTGGTGAGGTATTCGTCTCATGAGTTTTTGTACTATTTACTCCCATTTTTTTCCTGGTTCAGAGTCTCATTGCTAAATCTGCTGTAAACCCTATGGGCTCTCCTTTGTATGTGACTCTTTTTTTGATCTTACTGCTTTCCGTGTTGTCTTTGATTTTTGTCATTCTGAACCCAATGTGTCTTAGCATTTTCTTAATTGAGTCTGTTTTCCCTGGGACACTTTGGCCCTCTGTACTTGGTTGCCCTTATTCCTCAATTCTAAAAAATTCTTAAATAGGATTTAATTCTTAGCTCATCATGATTTCTAAGTATTAGTGTCTGTAGTTCAGCTGATTCTAAATACACCTCCCCTAGATAATCAAGCTGGGTCTGATTTTGTTCTCTGAAAGACTGAACTGAAAACCGAGGTTCCTGAAAGAAGAAATTCCATCTGTAGTCCGTAGTTTTCACTTGTTCCAAAATTTCAGCCTGCATTTTCTGGGGTCTACTGAACTACAAGGAAGATACTATAAATGAAGATACTATAAACTAGGAATTCAGCAATGTTACAGGAACTCAGGGGCCTGAAATGAGTAGACGGAAGGGAAAATTTCAGAAAACCGTTGATTTGTAAACCTCGGCACAGATATGAAAATTGAGCTATAATGAAGACTTGAGAACTTAATACACACTCTCTTGATCAGAAATTTTTCTCCATATCCTCCTAATCCCCATTCACATGTCCATGAACTCGCAAACCTACTCATCTGATGACTTTTACACGCTATGAGAATAGTAGTGTCTATTCTCACACTACTAATTGTCAATACATTAACTATAAACATTTGTCACTATAAGCATACTCTTTCTTTGCTAAAGTAGAAAATCTTGTCCACAAAGTGTAGCATCCCATTTTCATTATCTTGGTCTATGGCGTCATCCAATAAACAGGTTCTGAGAAACTATCAATGGTTCTTAAAGATAATGGCATCCTGAAATAAGAATGTAATATGAGTTGGAAATGCAACATAGCTTCACTGCAATGTTCTGGTTAATGGGAAAATACTGAGGCATATCCCTGATGGTTTAACTCAACAATCCCAAAGCGCTCCTGCATCAAAAATATATATATATATACATACAACCAACTCTTTTCAGTCATTTCTTTTTATTTGCAGTTTGTGTTCAATGCAAATCAATTCCATAACATAAGAAGTTACTATGAATCAAAGCATAAATACACAAACACAATATACAATTCAAAATAGATGTACAGCATTCGGGTTTGAAAAAAAAGGGAATGTTCATTCACACACACAGTAGCTTGAGATTTGTTAAATAGGGTTGATCCCATGTAGAATTCTAAAGATGGAAAAAAGAAGGACTTTGGTCATCAAGACTACTGCAGCCATCAAGATACTGGGACATCTAAGCATTAGTGTGTGACCATGCGAACAAAAGACTTAAGGAGTGTCTATTTTTAAAAAGATTTCTGTGCATTGAGGCAGCCATGAAAAGAGCTACTTTTCAGAATCAAGCTGACTTTGGGTTTAGGACCAGGTTCTAACTATCTAAAAATATTAACTGATTACAGAAAGTGTTCCAGATGTAGCTATTGATTCAGGTTTTTGTTTTATTTTTTTAAAAAAAAGTATTTACATTATCAGTATAAAAGTTTTTCTGAATTTAATGCAAGTTATCTTCCTTCCAGTCTTCACTTCCCAAATACCTGATTTACAGTTTTGGCTGCTTCACATATTTGATTTAATTTCAAGATGTATTCATTTCATCTTCAAAACATCATTTTTCCATCATCAAAAAGTATCTGACATATGCATTCATCATTAGTTGAAGCCAATACCCTTCTATTCCTTGGAATCACTTTAGCTAAATGAATCTGCTGCTCTTGTTGAACAGGAATAGATGACTAAAGTACAGAAGCAAAATTTACTCATTTATTCATGGATTTGGGGTTAGATTTCAAATCATCATTGCCCAAAAACATACCATTACTACATACAAAAGTCGAGTGCAATGTCAAATCCAAAGCTGCAGAGGAAAGCATTCAGGTCCCAAGACAAAGTGATAGCTTGACAATGTAAAACTTTCTACCTAAAGTTTACCAGCATTGAATTAGTATATTAAATTGAGGATTTACAGTAACTCTTGCAAGTTCCTTCTCCTGTACACATAAATAGAATCTTAGAAGTTGCTTTTTTAATGGAACTGTTAATGGCAATAAAAATTTAGTAAACCAAATGAAAACTGAATCTTAATTCTACATCCCATCTATTCTTATTTTCAAGATTGGGTTTTGTGTGTGTATATTCCTGAAGCCACATTTAAGGAAATCACAACTCATTCTAGATGTTCACTTTCTTCATCTTCTACATGACACTTCAGCAGATTTGATATTGGCATTCACCATCTAGTCAAACCCTCATGTGCTCTTCAAATCAAATTTGGCATCCTCAACATTTTCTATATCAACAAAATAAGGAGCAGAATTAGCAGATTCAGTGAAGACCTGGATTTTCCTTGCTGCAGGGGACATCTAGACACCATTTAAGATGGAGAAGTATAGATGTTTCTTGGCCTGAGTCTCTTAACAGTAGAGGTGTAGAAGGGAGAACAAGATCATGAAGAGACATGAGATTGACTGCAGGGCACCATCACTCCCATTGGTGGCTTTAGTAGTAGAAGTGGAAGTAGAAGTTGAAGTTGAAGCTGAAGTTGAATTTGAAACTAAAGCTGAAGCTGCAGTAGTCGAGGTACTTGGAGTGGAGTTAGTTGTAGTCACTGGAGTTGAGACAGTTGTGGACTGTGAATAAATCTAAAATACACAGATAGTATCACTGATTTCCATGTGTCACAGCGGCCTCCACATACACGTAATAAACAATGAATACAGAGGGTATATACTTGGATTGTTCTTACTCACATTATTTAATTCTAAATTTTCCCTTAGACCCAGCAATCATTCTTAGTGTCTGTGTCATCTAAAGGTATGAAAAGTCTGCAAAGAGCCACTGTCAAAACTAAAACTGTTCACCAAACTACCAGGATTCCTTCACCATAAGATGTGTTGGGTAACATAGTACTGGGCGATGAAATAAGTGAAGGATATGCTGTCACCAGCATCTCTTACGGTCAGATAAACACTTAAGTGAGGCTGAAAAAAATGGCCAGGTATTGGGGCTGGAGAGATATCACAGCGGGTAGGGCGTTTGCCTTGCACGTGGCCAACCCGAGTTCGATTCCCAGCATCCCATATGGTCCCCTGAGCACCACCAGGAAGTAACTCCTGAGTGCAGAGCCAGGAGTAAACCCTGTGCATCGCCAGATGTGACCCAAAAAGCAAAAAAAAAAAAAAGTCCAGGTATTAAGGATATTTTCTAACTGGACACTGGACCTCTTTCCTACCAATGGCATTCCTTCTCTTGGGGAAATTCCTTGCTCATCTGTCTTGGAAAGTTGGTGTGTATTTGTCTCCTTAGTTATGTATTTGTCTCATTCTCTGTGACTGACCCCACTGGACAGAAGTTGAAGGAGTCAATCTGATTGGTTTGAGACAATTTCTTGCTGCACTTCACGTATAATCAAAGACATTTATAAAGATTCAGCAAAAACTCCTTGAGAGATAGCTAGTTCCTTTGCTGTCTCTCTTCTATTCAGAAAATAATAAAACTTTCAGTGAAGCCTAAAAAAAAAAGCAGAAACAAAACAAAACAAAAAAAACTAAAACCGTTTCTCAAAAGTTAGCACAAAAATAATGAGAATTTTTTATTTTATTTATTTATTGATTGATTTATTTGCTTTTTGGGTCACACCCAATGATGCACAGGGGTCACTCCTGGCTCTGCACTCAGGAATTACCCCTGTGATGCTCAGGGGACCATATGGGATGCTAGGAATAAAACCTGGGTCAGCTGCGTGCAAGTCAAACACCCTACCCGCTGTACTATTGCTCCAGCCCCGAATTTTTTATTTCTTAATAAAGGGATTAAGGACTAAATACAGTCTCTATGACTAGGTGGACTCACTGACACTGCAAAGAGGTTTCTATTGGTCCAGAAAGGGGAGGTTTTTACTAAAAGGAACTGAGGAAAGGAAGTCATAGGGAGTTGGTGTATTTTTAATTTTGTGTTGTGATACCAGGGATCTAACTGTCGACCTCAAGCATGAGAGGAATGTTCTACACGTACCTACAGCCCAATCACCAAAGGATAGCTTAAAGATTTGTATGGTTTGTATTTTTTTTATAAGACTTAAATTTGAGGCTCACTACACTAAAATTAAGACTATCTACATGGGCTGAAATGACAGTAGGGCAGGTAGAGCACTTGCCTTGCATTCAGCCAATCTGGTTCAATCTCTGACACCACATATAGTCCCCCGAGCCCCACCAGGAATGATCCCTAAGCGCAGAGCCCGGAGCAAGCCCTCAGCACTACAGGGTGAGGCCCCAAAGCAAAAAAAAAAAAAAAAAAAAAAAAAAAAGGACACCATCTATCCTGGATTTGCAAGAAAACTTTCACAGACTTATTATATTCTTGTTTTGGTGGGGGGATTGGGAGGAGACCAGGTGATGCTTAGAGCTTACTCCTGGCTGCACTCGGGAATTATTTCTGGCAGTATTTGGGGGACTATATGGATGCCAGGTATCAAACCTGGGATGGCTGCTGCACAGCAAACGTCTTACCTGGTGTATTATCTCTCCAGCCCCAGCCTCAGTCTTAACTTATGAGGTCTTGAAATCTTATATAAACCTATTTGAAAACAACCTTAGAATTTATCTTGGGGTTTTGTTTGTTTGTTTTGCCCCCATGCTCCAATGCAAAGTGCATTACCAGCATGGGGAGAGATCTTACTGGGGCTTCCTGCACTCTAGGCCCTCAAAACTTTTTAAGTTGAAAAATATGATGACCCCCTTGCCTTAAGACAAATCACTTCCCTGGAGTCAGTAGAATTTCAAGGTTTGGCGTAAAGTCCCCACCAGCAGGAGCCTCACTGTCTGGTCACTTAGCTCAGTGCTGTGGCCAGGAACCAATGTTCCCCCAGTGTCCCCCTGGCCTGAGTGGCATCATTCAGCGCACTGATTTTTCCAGTCACAGAATGCAGTCCGGTGGGCACGTGATACTCTCTCCTTTGTCACTGAACAAAGGCAGATGGGAGATTTCAGCGCTCACTGCGGGGCGCTCTTCCAAGGGTTCTGATTACAGGGGAAGAGGCACCGAGCAGGCCTGGCCACACGGAACACTGGGTCGTCTCATTAAGGCGAAGATTAAAAAAAAAAAAAAAAACCTGCCACATCAGCAGTAGCAACTTTAATGGCAAAATCCCTGACTGAGGTCACACGAAACAAACCGACCAAAGAAATGTCCACATCCTAATCAGAAATTTTAAAAAATAAACATCAAGGGCCAGAGAGATGGTACCGGAGCTGGGCATTTATTTGCCTTACTCCCCGCAGACCCCTGTTCTAATACCTTGCACTACAGATGGTCCCCGGAGCACCACCAGGAGTGACCTCCTGAGCACAGACCCAGGAGTAAGCTCTAAACAACGGCTGGGTGTGGTTGATAAATAAATAAATAAATAAAAATAAGCTTCTTGATTAAGTCAAACCATGGACACCTAATATGTATAACATTCAGCTTGCCTGACAGGATTCGGTAATTGCGCTTAAAGCAGATGCTACGTAAAACTGCCCGTTGCTTCAGCACCGAATCCTGGCTTGGAGTCCCAGGCTAGTACTTTAGTCTACGTTTGCAATAGGGTGACTTTTTTTTTCCCCTTAACTAGGGGCCCAACGTCTCCACCTAAAGTTGCCCACACCGATGAAACAAATGCATGCTACTGTATTAGATTGTCATGCCACGAACTATTTCCTCACTCGAAGTATTGGGGAGCCCCCCGCTCCGTCCCCTGTGAGGAGCTGGGGTCGGGCTGGAGGGAACGCAGAACGGCCGCGCCCCTCCCCCACCGGGCTGTGGAAAGCTGGGGAGCGCAGACGCCCCGCAAGACAATAGGATACAGTTACCCGGCCCGCAGGCCAACGCCGAGCGCGGCGCTCCCACGCCGCCCGCGCTCAGGTGCGTCCGGCGTCTAGGGAACAAGATCCCAAGCACCCAACTTTCTGGACGCAGGAGATCCTCCGTGCAAAAGCCCCAGATGTTAAGGGAGCTCCCCATCCCCCCAGGGCGCGCCACCTCGCTTCCCGCCCCCCCCCCCCAGCATGAACTTCGGCTGAGAAAGGGCTCCTTTCCTCGGCCCCCCAGCTCTAGCCCGCCTCAACCTGCCCCCCAGCTCAATTCCCGGGCTCCCTCCCTGCCGCCGTCGCCACGCGCCCGCCGCACGCCCCCCATTCTCCCCCCTGCCTCCCAGACCTCCGCCGGGGCGAGGCTGGTTCCCGGGACAAAGCCAGGAGGGGACTCGGGACACAGATGTCGCCGCCGGAGCTGAGCGGGGCGAGCCAGTCTGGGATAACGCGGGGTTCCGAGGTGACAGGAGATGAACAAGGATAGGGGCACCCCACAGGGTGGGGGTGGGGGGAGGTGGACAGGGTCAGGAGCGGGTCCCCGCCCTGGCTTCCGAAGCCTGGAAGCCTTCGGAACCGAGTCAGCAGCACCCGATTGCCGGGGGTTTCCTCTGGATCCCAGAACCAGCTCCGAGTGGCGGGTGGACCCGAGCGGCGACCCCCCGGCTCTCTTTGTGTGGCGCGCTGGAGCGGAACGGAGCCCTGCGAGTCTCCTGGGACCGGCTCTGCCAGGAGACTCTAGGTCTGGGGCGCTCCGGGAGGTGAGGAGCGCACCTTGGCCCGTTAGTGCCTTGCACCTCCGGATGGCGAGCTAGTGGCGCAAGCCAGAGCTCCTGGGAAGGGGGACGCGGGGGGGAGGGGGGGTGGCTGCGTGGGGCGTGGGGCGTGGGGTGCGGGCGGGGGGCTCGCAACCCACCACCCACGCACGGAGCTGCATTGTTCTCTGCAACTGTGCACGGGATGGAGAGCAGCCCTCAAGGGAACGGAAAGTAGAATCCCCGGGGCCCGCAGACGGGCTGCCGCTTGAGCCTCTACTTGCGTCCCAGATCGCGGTGTCCGGGATGGGGGGACGGGGGTGGGGGTGGGGGGACTGGAGGGGGGGGTTGCGCTCAGACCAGTTCCCGGAAGGTGGCTGCCCGCCCCCATCCCCACTACCCCCTTCTGGAGCGCGCGGCCCCCGAGTTCTCCCGGGGCGCCCGGGCCTCACCTGCGTGGGGAGGAGCAGCGCCAGCAGCAGCAGCCCCAGTCCCAGCCTGGTCACCATCGCTCTGCCCATGTCCGCTCCGTCGGTGCGCGGCGCGTCTCGCAGGGTGCCGGGTGCGTGGAGAGGCGCGGGCTCCGAGTAAGCGCAGGCAAGGTGGGGAGCACGGCCGGCGGGCGGGACCTTATATACCGGGACCGCCACAATAGCCGCGACGTGGCACCGCCCACCCGCCCCCCTCCGCCGCCGCGCCCGCCCCCCACGCGCGCCCGCCCGCCGCTTCCCCGCCTCCCCCGCGCCCTCCGGGCTCCGGGGCGCCCCCTCCCTCCGCGGCCGCCCGGGCAGCCGAGGGCTGCGAGACCCCCTGGCGGTCGCCGCCGCGCGGCAGGTGGGTGGCGGGGCGCCGCCGGCGGGGGGCGCGGCTCTTTGTGTGTCTCCCGGCGCGCTGCTGCGTGCGGGCTGGCCCCGGCGCCCCGCGACTCCCACCCGGGGCCCCGAGCGACCTCGCCAGCCACACAGCCCGCTCTCGGGACCCGGGCCAAGTTTCCTTTGTTTCCCGCAACCTGCCATGTTACCCCCTCCCCCCGCCCGCCCTCCTCCCCGGGCACCCCACCACCAACCCCCCTCCCCAAGAAAAGTCAGAGCCTCGGGAACCGCCGGGCCCAGGCCAGACCCGCCGCGGGCTGCAGGGGCGCCGAGGCCGCGGGCGGGGGGCTCCCCTCGGCTGGGCTGGGCTCAAATCCCCGCCCCATCCGATGGGGGGCGGGGGGGGACGGTCCGGGCTTTGTGTGAACCCCGCGACTGGCGCTGGAACGGGGCGCCGCCGCACGCCCGCCCTTCCAGCACCGGCCCGCGGGGCTCGCCCGCCGCTCCGGGCTCGGAGCGAGTCGGGGGCTCGGCGTCGCGCCCGCGCCGGCCCCCCGGACCCTCTCCGGGGGTGCTGAGCACCTCGCGTGCTCCCTGGCCGTGTGGCGCTCACCGGGGGCATCCCGGATCTCGCCTGGGGATGGTCTCGGGAATTGGGGAACCGCCGCCCCCCTCCTCCCCCTGAATGCGGACGCCGGGTTGCCAAGCCCCGGGCTTTCCTCCCCCGAGGGGCGAGAAGGAGAAAGCCCACCCAGAGGACACCCCCCTCGTCGCCGGAAAGGCCCCGCCAGCCCGCCCCTCGCCGCCCCGCGCCCGGGATCCGGAACTCCTTGGCGCTCCCGCTAGAATTCGCTGCCCTCCTGGAATCCCACCCCCCAGGAACACGCTCCTTCGGTCTCCGCTGCCAAGTGCGTGCTTGTCTTTCGCGTAAAGAGCAGAAGCCAGCTCTCGGGCACCAGCTTTCCCAGAGCTGCCATGAGACTCAGACATTCGTCCTGCTCCTGCAGATCTTGGCGGAATGGGTTTCCCAACCTTTCTCTTGCGAAAACTTTCAGCCTTAGAGCAAAAGTGGAAATCTTTTGACTGATGGGTGGCTGGGATAGTTTTGGTTTAATGTTCCATGGCAAGACTTAATTTTTTTTTAGGGGTAACTCTTGTGTGTGTTTTGTTTTGGTGGCAGTTTTGTTTGTTTGCAAATTTCTAACAAAAAAACAAAAACGGGGTGGGGGGGTGGAATGTTTCCACGTTACTCTGCAGACCGCTTGTGTAAAAGCAAGCCGAGTTTTATGCAAGCGGAATGACAAAAGGAGCCCGGAGTGGTGGGGTGTGTGACTGCACCGACCTGTGCCTTAGTGCTCAGCCCTGTCACCTCAGTAACTTTCCTATGTCCGATATGCTTGGGAACACCGGTAGCATTTCTGTCCCGCACCAGTGGGCTTTTCTGCTCAGCAGTGTTGCCACATAGTATAGAAATAACCTGTTTGTGCTCACAGTCTCGGTCTCTTGCAGGAACCCATAGACTGTATATAGTGTGCGCCCTCCACCACAGTCCCACAGGACATTCAGCAGAATGTTGTTTGTTTTTTCCTCTTCCCTTCCTCTCCCTGCTCCTTTAGAACTTTAGGTGATAGACTGAGGGGTGCATGAAGACAGACACACTCTTGGGGACAGAATGATAGGACAGTGGGTAGGGCCTTGCCCACACCACTGAACTATCCACAGCAACACACACATTCCCCCCCAAGCTTACCAGGAGTGATCCCTGAGCACAAAGCCAGGAGTAAGCCTGGAGCACCACTGGATGTGGTTCAAAAACAAAAGAGAGTACAGGCTCTGGGGGTGGGGGTGTCAGGAATGGAGCCCCATAGAGGAGCACATGCTTGGCCGTGGAGACCCCCGGGTTCAATCGCTGGCACAGAAGGAGAGGGGTGGTGGGGAGGAAAGGGGAGAGGAAAAGAAAGAGAAAGAAGGAAGGGGTGGAAAACATATATCCTAGGGTCAGAAAGATAGCTCGGGGGTTAGAGCATTTGTCTTGCCTGAGGCTGATGCTGTTTCAATTCCTGGCAACACATAGGGTACCCAGAGCACCACCAGGAGAGATCTCTGAGGGCTACTTGATGTACCCTAAAGCCAAAGAATGAAAGAAAGAAATAGACTCTGGACCAGACTGCCTTGGCCCAAATTCCACTTATAACACTTTTGGATATCATTTTCTTTGGGGGAGGGTGTCACACCCAGCCATGCTTAAGGGTTACTCCTGGTTCTGCACTCAGGAATTACTCCTGGCAGTGCTCAGGGGACCATATGGGATGCAAGGGATCGAATCTGGAACAGCCCCTGTACTATTGCTCCGATCCTATGCCACTTCTGGAGAGGGAGATGAGGCTGGAGGCAGGGGGCACATCCTGATGTGCATGGGGAAGCTGGAGGGAACAATAATCCTAGCTCAGGGGATCATGCAGTTCCAGAGTTGAACCTGGGCCTCCTGCACACAAACCATGCACTCAGCCCATTCAGCTGTCTCTCTGGCCCTAACAGCATATTTACTTTTTTTCATTGTGAAATGGAGATGATACAGCCAACTCTTTTCATGAGAATTAGAGTCTTGTGTATCAGGTGTTAGAGCAAAAGATTCGTTCCTCCCATGACTGCAGAAGTCAGAAGTCCAGAAGTGCAGGTTCTTTCCTTCTCTGCCGAGGTGTGATTCAGAAAAGAACTATCGAATTCCACAGCATGCCAATTTGGGAAGGCCCTTGAGATTGGCATTTGCAAACCACCTCTTCGCTAGCTAATGAACAAACTAATTCACAGAGCAAGCCTTCCCATCTGCCAGGCAGAGCCCTGGCATCCCAGAGGAGTGTCCCCCATACTTCCGGAATCTGCAGCCTGGAGGTGTAGCGCCCCCTAGAGGAAGGCCTCTTTGCTAATTCTCTACCCGCTCTGCTGGAGGGCAAATACCAGAATACTAGACACCTGCTCTCTCCAACTTTTTCCATTTGTAGCTTCCTCTTCCTGCTTATTCTCTTCTGTTTCTAGTTTTTCATGGCTATTTGTTCGTTCCTCCCAAAGTTAATGCTACTAAGCTAAATACTGAATTACACACCAGTCATTATAGAATTTTTCCTTAGTCCCGTGGTCAGTTTCTATTTTTGTGAGGGAATTATTTTATGGAATGATCTTGAAGCTGATTCACTCCATTATTGAGTGGAAAGCCATGGTTTTTAAGTTTTACTATGTTTGCATGAGGTGGCGCAGGACTGAGACTGCCTTCCACACTCACCACCCCCCCAGCATCTAGCCTTTCTTTCCCTTTGCTGAGGCCGTGATGACCAGAGCCCTCACTTGCTTATGGTTCTTGCACACACTTGGTTGCTGTGTACCTGAGATCACTGGGCTGTTGTGCTTTTGGGGATCACAACGGTATGTAGACAGTGTCAGGGCCCGAACTCAAAGCCTCAGGCCTGCAAGGTAGATGCTCTACCAGTGAACCATTCCCAGATGTCTAGTTCCTTAACGCTACTGCTTTTGTGAGTACAGTTTGTAAAAGAAGAAATGTGACAACTAATGACCATGTAATGGTAGGCCGATACCACTCGTCATGGCCTTTGAAGTTAAAACTAGACTGAATCCTGCCACTATCTGGTTTCAGTTTCCCTGGAACCTTGTTTTCCTCATCTGGAAATGACTAATAGGAATACCTACCTCCCAGGGGTATGAGCTCATTTTGTTTTGTTTTGTTTGGAGGCCACACCTGGTGGTGTTCAGGGCTACTCCCAGCTCTGTGCTCAGGGGTCACTCCAAGTAGTACTCAGGGGATCATGTGGTGGAACCGAAGTCGGCTGGGTGCATCTCTCCAGCTCTCAAAGATATGAACTTTAATTAAGGTAATGAGTCTCTTTAGCAGCCTGGAGTACAGTAGGAATTCACTCAACTGCTACTTCTATTCACCAAGCTGCTACTTGTATAAATACTAACTTCTATGTATACTTGTTTTTTTTTTTATGTAGGAGTATTGCTATACAGCCATTGATTAGGCTGATTGAATTGGAGTTGAACTCCACCTTACTTTTTTTTCCTTTTTTATAATTTTATTTATTGAATCACCGTCTAAGCGATAGCACAGCGGGTAAGACGTTTGCCTTGCACGCGGCCAACCCGGTTGGCCCAGGTTTGATTCCTCCGCTCCTCTCGGAGAGCCCGGCAAGCTACTGAGAGTATCTCGCCCGCACGGCAAAGCCTGGCAAGCCACCCATGACGTATTCGATAAGCCAAACACAGTAACAACAAGTCTCACAATGGAGACATTACTAGGCCTGCTCGAGCAAATTCATGAACAACGGGAGGACAGTGCTACAGTGCTACAGAATCACCATGAGAGCAGTTACAAAGCTTTCAGGTTTAAGTCTCAGTCATACAATGAAACACCCGTCCCTTCACCAGTGCCCATTTTCCACCACCAAAAACCCCAGTATACCCCTCATCCCATACCCTCCCCCTACCTGTGGGGCAGATGATTTCCACATTACTCTCTCTCTACTTTGATTACATTCAATATTTTGACACCAGACCCACCATTATCATTTGGAATTTTATCCCACCACTCAGATCTGCCGAAAAGGCAACAGTAGACAATTTGTTTTCTATTGCTGGTTATGAATAGCATATGATGTCTCACGGCCACAATAGTGGCCATGTGATTTTGGAATTCTAGAATTTTAACAATTAAATCTGGATGGATTTCTGCCAAAACCTACTGGGTTCCGAGATTTGTTCCTGAGTCTCCTGGATCATGGCTATTAAGCAGCTTGATCAGGAGCCAGAGAGGCCATTCATGGGCAGTGACT